ACTAATTTGATGGTACATACATGGTCATTTATTCTTGTTATGTGTTCATAAACACGCTTATTTAACAATTCACGCATTTCACGACTTTTTTATAACTATTCCCTTATTTTCTCCCCTTCCTTCTTTCAAACTAATTTAATATTCTTCTCAATTACACAGAACTAGATTTATTATTATTCCTTTTCAAATATGGCAAACATAATGCTAACATGATTGCAACTTGTGTATTATTGCATTTCTAAAGAAACCCGAAATGGTTTCTTCACAACACTTATGTACCCATGAGATGTTTGTGGATAATAATAATAGACTTACAGGCGGAAATCGGAAAGCCAGTCGCCACATATGGTAAAAGGTACATTTACCTTAACGTGGAATTACTCAGACCCATTCACAGGATCTTCATCGTTGAAGATGTTTCTATGTCAATCATTGGTATAGACCTCCATCAACAACATATTTTACTCATCGAAACGCGTAAACGAAGGCCAGTAGACGGAAGCTTCTTTTTCCCGTTGCAGATAATCTCCTGTTACAGTTAGACACACGATATACCCTTTCTATCATCCATTACTCGATAAGTACTATGGGATATACCAGCAACGTTACACATCATATCACGACTAAAAGACCTCTCGTGTTCTCGAAAGCGTGCCGACTTGCTCCCGAAAAGCTGAGGTTGGCCAAAAACGAATTCGTTCACATGGTAGTGTTACGGATCATTCGACAGTCAAGCGGCCCATGTGCATCTCTTGCACATGGTCCCTAAAAAACAGCAACGGTTGGCGTCCGACTGGTGACTATCGGCCACTGAATTCAAAAACAACTCCCGATCGTTACCTGTTGCCCCACATTGACAGCTACCATGAAAGGTACAACTGTCTTTTCAAAATTCGACTTGGTTAAAGCGTATAACTAAATTCCCATGGCCACTGACGACATTCCAAAAACCGCTCTCGTTACTCCTTTGAGTGTTTACGAATTTTTGCGCATGACTTTCGGTTGAAGAAATGCTGCCCAAATATTCCAAAGTTTCATAAATGACGCTTTCCGAGGTCACGACTTCACCCATGAGCATGTTGATGACAGCCTAATAGCGAGACCAGACAGAGAATCGCATTTCCAGCATCTGGATCTTGTTTGTGAACGACATTATTGTAAACATTCAGAAATGTCTAGTCGGAACTGACTCCTTAGACTTCCTATGACACACTATCGATGCACAAGCCATCCGACCCCTTAGAACCAAAGTGGCGGCCATTCCGGATTACCCAAAACCGACTTCCATCGTGCAGTTACACACGTTTAACAGCTTTGTATTTTTCTGTAGACGGTTCATACCGAAATGCGCGTCACTTATGAAACCGCTACCCGACCAACTTCGTGGAAATGCGAAATCCATCAATGTGGACGACACCGATCGGAAAAGAATTCTCCACGGTTAACGAAATTATCGCTAAAGCAACAGTGCTTGCACATTAGGACACTCAAGCACCCATTAGTATCGCAGTAGGCGCATTCTTCTCGAGATGGTTGCTATACTATGAATTCAGGTATAGCATTTTAGTTAGGGAACTCACACCCATGTATTGTGCTGTACGGCACTTTCAACACTCAATCGAAGGCCGAGAAGTCACTTTTTTCACTGATGGTAAACCGCTTATGGTCTCTTTAAGGCTCCTCTTCAGACAAGTACTCCCCTCGTGAGTTTCGACAACTGGATTACATTTCACAGTTTAATTCGGATATACAATAAATTTCTGGAGCAAACGATGTAGTTACAGACGCCTTATCTTGTATAACTTCCTTGAACGGTTTCCAAGGGATCAACCTTCTTAAAATCGCTCAGCTTCAAAAATGAGACACTGATCTTCAGCATGAGTTATCTTCAACAACCCTGAAACCGCTCATTAAACAGATGGAAATAGGTACAGAAACCTTACTATGTGACACGTCTACAGTTAGGGATCGCTCAATCGTGCCGAAACATTATCGACGCAACGTCTCCAACACATTGCTCAAGCTTTCTCATCCAGGTGTTCGTACAACTATCAAGCTTATAACAGAACGTTTTTGATGGCCTGGTATAAATAAAGACGTGAGGAAGAAATCACTCTCCTGTGTGAGTTGCCAGGAATCTAAGACTATTAGACACAATTGAGCCTTAGGCTCATTTAAAACTCTCAATGCTTGTTTCGACCATGTTCAACTTGATTTGGTAGAACCCTTACCAGACTCAAACGGATACTCTTATCTCTTAACCTGCATAGGCCGTTTCACTCGATGGCCAGAAGCAGTACACATCAACGACACTACTGCTGAAACAGTATCCCGCGCCTCCGTCGAACAATGGGTAGCAAACTTCGGCTGCCCCTCAACCACCACTACAGATCGCGGACACCAGTTTGAATCTAGACCACACTATTAAGAATCACTCGCTTCTGAATGACTGCCCACTACCCATAAGCAAACGTGTTGGTATAACGCCTTCACTGACAGTTGAAGGCTTCGTTATCAGCTGCAAACTTTTCACAGTGTACCGACACTCTTCCACTCGTCATACTAGGTATTTTCAATGTAGTGAAAACTGATATTGAATACACTGCAGCTCAATTCGTTTGTGAAACGATACTCAGAATTCCAGGAGAATTCGTGAATCCTTCATCTTCTTCAATGAACATAGATCTAACCTCCTACACGAACAGGCTTACAAACGCGATGGGTTCAGTTAAACCTTTTTCCACTAGACCGCAGTCAACCGATGTTTTCGTTCAGCCTGCATTACGATATAGTACACACGTCTTCGCACGTCGAGACTCACATCAAAAACCTTTTGAATCAGTATGAGAAAGACCCTTTAAAGTTCTTCAGCGCAAACCTAAGTACTATATAATCGACAAGGACGGAACCAACGATAGCATCAGCACCGACCTCATCGAAGCAGCGTCTCTAGAATTCAGCTCTGCCCACGTCGATTTTACTTCGGTACAACCGAAGGACACGACTACAACACCCGTGACACCTCACCTGATAGCCAACACGCACGATCGTACTTTGGCAGTGTTTGGAAATAGACTCAAAACAACGCGTTCTGGAAGAAGATTAAGGTTTCCAGACCATTTGAACGATTATTGCACGTAAGACACTAGTTGATATTTTGTTTCATCTCTACCATTCTTCGTCTTATATGTAATATTAAAAAAAAAACGATTTTACAGTGCTTATATTTCTATATTTATTAAAACTCTTTTTGCTGATATATGTACATTAAAAACTTTTCGAAAAGAACAGAACAAAAAAGCCATTCTGTGCTAATCGTTTTTACACTGTCGCGTGTGCATAGGTTTTTCTTTTTTTCGCCCGATTCGTGTCTTTATGTGCGTACGAGTGTAATTCCACATGCACTTACATATCCTTTCTTCTCTTTTCCAGGACGGCTGGAAAAGACAAAAAAGACCGACGAAGTTCACGATGAACCGAAATTTTCTTTGTACCTTGTTTCTTTATTCCCATATTGTACTACATGGTCCCTTATAGTAAGGTAAGACGACCAGACGCTGCCAAACATAGCAAGCTATCAGAAGGGTGTTTACCAACGACAAACTTGTGGGTTTTAAACTTCTGATTGGACACGTCCTAGGGTGATCACTATCCCACTAGGGAGGGGGAATGATCTGTAGCAGTAAATAAATCCCCAAAATAAATAGCTCTGTAGGTCCTCAACATTGGATGCTGACCACATTAGTTTAATGGACTCATCTGGCTGAAGGCGCTCGGTTAGGCATCCGCACCACATCACGAATGGGAACGCCGTGCTCAACAACCCTTGCAACTGCTAGCCAGTCTAGATCGGTCGATCCTAAATATATTAATAGCCTATCAGATATATCTTCGAACCTCCTTGCTTCTGACTTTCGATTTCACTAGGTGAGTACGATTCATATTAGGTGTTACTGGTTAAAGCGTTGTCAAACTCCAAATACCTATGGCATCTTCAAGGGTGTCTAGTGAAAAATATGAGGTTTTCATCAATGTTGAAGTCTTAAAGAACTACGTATTTTGTGGATTTATCTACTGCCACGATGTACGCTTTTAATTTGATGTAAGGGTTTTTCGTAAGAGTCAGGGCAATGAGAGTGACCTGTAGGCCTTGAGTACAGCGTAGTGAACACTGACTCCGAAAAGCTAAACGGCAAACAAGTGATCTAATATCGAGACCATTAAAGCTAAGTTCTGATCTCGCAGACCAGTCTGAAAACAATATATGATGAGGGAGCTCGAGAAAAAAGATGAGCAGTTACACTGAGAATTTAGAATATTAAGTACCCTATAAAGTGTTGGTTGAATGAGCATCATAATGACAAGTATGGTATTCACTAGTAATCGGGCGTCCAGCATGTGTTTTAGTACCAGGATACGCTGGTTAAACGTGTAGAGGGGGTTGAAGGCAAGCTTTGAGAAGGGAGATGTCCGAGATTTCTGCTTGTAGAACATGTAGAGAGCAAGCCGATTTATCGTAGGGTGATTGCCAAAAAACATTTGTTAACTGATAAACTTGAATTCTAATGGTATAATTAAATTACTCTCTATCTGTAATATTTGGGTAACCTCTTTCTGCATTCCTAATTTTCAACATACTCACTTGTTTTTTTCTATCATGCTCTGACCTTACTAATTTTTGATGCACTTGTTGAACCGCTTTTTTTAATCTCGACTCATCTACAAACTTGTTGGTTTCGGCTTCATATAGATATCCTGGATTATCTTCAATGTACACCTTTGTGTTTTGATTTGTTGGTGGTTTTCTCCACTGCATATTGATGATACATCCTTTGTGGCTGCTTAGAAGATGTTTGGATGTTACCACTTATATTTCAGATTCATACGAGCAAATATTTGCTCGTTAAGTATATTGGAATACACTACATGAAACAAAGTTTTAAGTACAATATTATACTAGAGGAAGGCAAAAACTATTTCAAGACCAAGCTCTAAAGTAAATGGACTGGTTGATGGGGAAAGCCAGAGGGGTAAGTCGTGGCTTCATGCATACCCCTTCCAGTATCGTATCTTCCACTGCAACAGAACCTATTCCCATCGTTCATCATAACCATTGTGTCTCTCCGAATGGTACTCCGCCATTGATTACTAACAGTGTAAGTGTTGAAACTGACAGCAGACGTTCTCCTGTTCCTGTGAAAGAGTTTTCTGCAAACGAATCTCGCGGCGGCCTAGCTACAAAGCTACGCGCCCCTTCGCCTCTATCCGTAAACGTCCAAGTTTCTCAGGTGTCGAGTAAGTGTTCGCAATCACCTGGGGTGTCTGTGGAAACAGAAATCCACTCCGATCCCAAAACTCCAATGTATATGAAAAATGTTTATGTTTCCCAGCAATTACCCATATTTTTAGATTCATCTTATCCTGAATTCTGTGATGTTGTAGAGCCATTTCCAGCTATGGATACAAATGAGTGGCTTGCTGCACACACAATTGCCTTGTTTGACAATATTAGTATAATATATGACGCCATATATGAGCTCTGTAGTTGCCGAAGCTTATGGGAGTCTTTGGAAGATTCAGGAATCCACAACATTGTCTCCTCATTGTTACTGGAAATTTCAAATAGTTCGCTTGGTGTGCAAAGCGAAGACGATCGCGGCAAAAAGAACAAAAGTCTGATTGTGGGCTCCATCTCACAATACAGTAGAATTTCAGCCCGCCAAGCTATTGATGGTGCTCTATCTTCTTGCCATGACCTTATTCAATGCCCTCGTTTATTTCCCATACGAAATGGTGAACCTTTTCCTTCTGATTTGCCCCAATATGTTTCCGTTATCTGCAAAAATATACTGGTCTGTATAGTTCATATGTATGTTGCACATTTCAATCATCTGGATCAACTTGAGTTAATACCTCATATGAATACCCTAGCCAGACATTTCTTCGCATTTAGCAAAAGATTTTCACTTGTTGATGATAAGCAGTTGGATGCTTTGGCGTGTTTCAGTCATACAGCATTTAGTTCAAATAATTGAGTAACTGTCGTTATGGGCATCATAAAAGTGCATTTCAAATAGAATCCCTACATGTGCAGTTGGTCGTCTCTCATGTGACGTTAATACCACCGTCATTATAAATAAATTTGGAATAACAAACTGCACTGTGCAAACCAATTTTGGACCCACTATTTATTGTATTGCATTGTCTTGTAATAAAACTGTCCTGTTCTATGAGACCTGTTCGTTGCTTTATTTCATTCCACTAAATGGAAGTCTATTTTAGTTCGTGGCACTAATTCTTAGTTGTGTGTTCATTCTTTTTGAGTTGTAAATGAGTCATTGGTTTTGTGTAATGAATGTAAAATAACAGTTGAATTTCTAATTGCCCATCGCCAAACACCTCCATTGATGTGTAATGCCATTGAATAACTTGTACATTTCTCGTTGTTTTTTAAAGGCTTTGTGTCGTTTTATTTCGGTTATATTTGCTTTGGGTTGGATTTCAACAATATTAGACTGATTATGAAATGTAATTCTGTTCAACTGTACTGTTTCGTAGCTTCTCATATGATCTTGAAAATTTGTAATGCATGAAGTCGTTCTGACTTAAAATATAGGTTTTTATGTGTCTTTCGGTTTTTTGTCCTAGGGAAGGAGATGTATTTTAATTATACAAATCAAATAAGTTGAAGTGCGTTTTGTGCTTACATTTCAACGCCCAAACATACGCTCTAAATAAATATGTATTTTTGATAGTTTGACAGTTTGTAGCACCAAGAGCTTTAATGTGGTTTGGCGTGCTGCTGTGGACCTTATCCATCCCTTAGACATTAGATTTAAAAAATGACAAGCCACAGTAGGAAAAGTTTATTCCGTCGTAGTTTTTGAATTAACCTGCCTTTTTACGTGTACATCTAGTTATTTTATCTGGACCGAATAGTTTCCATGGTACAGTGGCTTGATGGACAAAGTATTGGCTGTGTACATAGTAGTTAGTTCTTCTATGAAAGCTCATCAATAGTTTATGATGCACGTGGGGCATATTTTCAGAGTAAAATGTGTGACGGACAGTTTGTAGCACCAAGGGCTTTTAGTGTGGTTTGGCGTGCTGCTGTGAACCTTATCCGTTCTTTAGACATCAGATTGAATGGGTGAAATGGCGATGCTTATACTTTGCTTCTACCTGGATGTAGTGCTGATGAGGTTTAGGTGTCTCAGTCTTTATTCATAGGATGTACCAGAGAAGCCTTTTTCCGTTATTATCAACCACCGTTGAACCAGTTCTGGAATACCCACCTGATATTTGAAGCAAGGACTCACTGCTTGAATCTCATATTTCAAATGCTCCCTCAAAAACATCGAGTATAATACCTCAAACATTTCTTAGTTCAAGTGATGATGTGATTAAAGAATATACTACTAGACCGTCAAGCATTGGACAGCGGCGACCTTGCAATCACTTGTTATCCATATGACTGGTTCAACGTCGCAGTATTAATCTGCTACACAAAAATGCAAGAATAAAGGATCAGTATTTGGGTAAATTATGCTCAATTTTTCGATATTATGAAGGTTGTTTGTGAATTAGGTTGGATAAAACTCAATTTTGCCGTTTTAGTGCGATGAACACCGAACGGAAACGCGTTAGGAAGTTGCGTGGGAAGCTGTTTCGTAAACTACTTTTGAGGGAATCAGTTTCTATGTTTTCTGTTTGTTTACTAAACTAATGACTGTTAGTATTTTCATTTTGTTCTGATTGTGAACATTCACTTAACTTGCAATATTTTTCGCCATATATAAATTGCAGTCAGTTATATATCTGTTATTTAACTACGTCACGAATGCCATAACTGTACACCTACTGAAATTTATTATTTACCATGCTTCATGGTCTTCCATCTTACTGAATCATTTACTTGAGTTTTCGAGTTCGAAAAATGCAAGGTACTTGTTCGATTTTTCATTGTTCGGGTTGGTGGTTGGGGAACGGGTAAATCTTGCTTGGACATTCGATTGTCGATTCATGCAGAGGCTGGATTGGTTGATTTTGAGGTTTTTAGCGTAGATGAGTTGCAGGCAAAATGCCGTTGAAAAATTTGGATATGGATGTTAGTATTACTAAATAAATCTATGACAAAAAACAAACATTCTAATTGGGACATTTATACTCTGAGGATACGCAGTGTTACTTGATGGAATGCCATCACGTTGAAGGACATTATAGGAAATTGTAGGAATGCTATGCTCAACCTTATCGACCAGTTTGTAGGCAAAACGGGATGTCTGTAATGCGAATAGCTCAGTGGCTACCATTTACTCATTGAACCAGTCGATAATTTCACCACGTACAATAATAACGCGAGACAAAAATGCATAGTTCAGTAATTGGTTACTTGTAAATGTCGGCTAAAATCTAATATAAGTGACTGAACAATCTTGATGGTTACACTACTGATAAATGAAATATTAATCAAAAGATCTGGCTGAGGTTACCATGATCTACGGAATCAGATTTCCGAGTATTTTCACAACAGCATTGGGTGATGGAGGCATATTATCATCAATCGACTGAAGTTAAGAATGAAAACCTCTGGATACCAGTTTAGTGGTCTGAGAGTCAGGCGCAATCCGCGAGGTAAAAAGGTCACAAATTTGACAACTTGTGGGGCTAATTTCCAATGGTTGTATGACCAAGTCTTTTCTCTATGTGAGACTTCGAATTCAAGAATCTTCAGAACCTTATGATAGTAATTGCATCTATGTTTCAATAATTAGCTGATTATAAACGTGTGTATTACCACATTATTACTTATTAAGTCGAAACGTAGTCTACTGAACGGTGTGAATTTTATCACAGAAACGTAATGGATGACCAATCTAAAGCTGGATTTTTGTGTTACCCATTTGTTAATTCAGAAACTGTTTAGATTAAGCCCATGTGATTGATTAAATTACATTCCAAGAAAGTAATTTCATATACTTGTCGAACTTATTCATAGACGAGGATTTCTGTGATGAAATATAAAGCATTTTACAGGTGTATGTATACATATTTCACTATAATTATCAAAGCACCAGTTTATTAGTTCATAGTAATCCAAATTTATGCCAAATTCCGCTTTTGTTTGCAATATTTTTCATTTATAATTCCTGTAGAAAGAAATCGGATCCAACCATAACGTTTAAAGATGGTTAATACTATTGGCTGGATTTCGTTAAACAACAACTGTAAACCAAAGAGTGCTGAACGACTGTTTTTTCCAGGTACGGAGACTGTTACCAGTGCGCCTATGAACCCAATAAGGTCAGGACTCTAGTAATGAAACTTCACGCCATGCACGTTACTTTAAGAGTACCCAGTTAGTAATTAACAGTTCACATTCCCGATTTCAGTAGTTATCTAGATAATGTCATTCAAACTGCGTTCTCTAAGTTGGGTGGTCCAATCGTGAAGCTTCTATGCAAAGTCTGCCAATGGCGTTTAGCAAGGAAATAAAAACGTTTAAACCACTTAGTACGGAGAACAGGATTTGAACGGAGCCATCCCTCTAAACTGAAAATCTTCTCATTCATCTCTTACTAAAGTCAATTTATGACAAACTACCTTCAGTGTGAAGAACCTCTGTAAGTTTATCATGCTAATTATAAAGATTATGTTATGGTACATTTACTCTCTAGATTCTATCGTTTTTATTTCTACTCTGTAGTTGGACATTTCGTACTTTTAAAGATTTTTCCTGTAGTACATCCAACCATCACTTCTCATCGTGCTCAGAATATAAATGAATTATCTGTAAATGAATATATATTTATCAGGTAAAGTTAATACTACTGTTTTTAGTGTGGCGTCGAGTTGCGTTTGACTATGAACACCACTATAAGGAGGTTGCGTACCAGAACTCAGAAGGCGGTTGCAGGTTGTAACAAGATATATTCGTTGGCGGTCTCGTAGTATCGAAAGAATACCGAGATCGTGCCAAAGAAATACAAGTGGAATCAGTGGGCGAACGTAAGAGCGTACATGGTCACAATCCACGCAAGGATAATGGAAGAATAATGGATGTTTTTCGTACAGTTAAACAAACAAGTACAGTAAACAATCACTGGTACAGTTGGTTATAATAATAATTGTTTCCATTAAACCAATCGTGTTCTCTTGATAAAAGCAGGTCACTACATGTTCATGATGCGTCTCATTTTACGATTATTGAACCATCGTTTATAAAGACGACTATGCCCTGACATTTACTACATATGGAAACTGATAATTAACTACAAAAATTTGTATGAGTGCTTGTTGAGTTCTGCAGATCGATTCAGTTACTAATGTAATCTTCCAAAAGCCTAACTATCTCATTCCGAAGACGAAAATTTCATGAAAAGCTCTGTTGCCAAGTCCAAACAATCATATTTACACTCATACAGTTACCTTTTTCGGTAAACCACTTGCTCATCCAAAACGGTCCTAACACGTCTGCATCTGTTATCGTGTTCCCCTGTAACAGCTTGTTATGGTTTTCTTGGCATAATGATGATCGTTTTCAAAAAAATTTATCGCTTTGGATTCATCTGTATCAGTCAAGATGGGGCACATGTATACTGATTTGGATAAGCTCAGAACTTTTTCTGTTTGCCTGGGTATTTTGTAGAGGTTTATAATATCATTTATTATTTTCTGTACAATTCAAAACATCGCATTCATGTAATC